AAACGTTGCCCCACATTAGGATTTTCTCCTGTGTCGTGGGTGCGTTTACAAACATACAAGTTCACATATATACAATGACACCCAGACCCGAAACAACAATTTGTGGATCACACAAAGTGTTGTTCCGTGCGGGAATCGAACCCGCGACACGTTGCACGGCAGCCGGTTGCCCAGCCACCGCACCAACAGTGCAGTCATCCACGTATCCTCGTATGCCTCGTATCCACTAGGCAACATTTGGCGCGCGACACGTGAATCTCAACATGTACGGCAACGCTGCACAACAGCGCGCGACGTTGCCAGCTGCCGCGCAACATGACGCGCGGCTTGTTGTCAGTTTTAGTGCATCGTTAGTTGTTCGTATCTTCGTATATCTCCTCCTCCATCCTACTCTCATACCACCTCCATCGTAAACAAATGTTCCGCGTCAACATTCAACAAGTTGCGAAACATGGTGAGCAACATGTCGCGCGTCAAATGTTGCCTAGTGGATACGAGGCTTTATCGTCCACGTAAGCCGCACTCCATGCGCACGCTCTCCTCGATTACAAGACGAATGCTTGCATCGTGCATAGACACAATTAAAACTATGTCCACGAAGTTGGCAGTTGGAAGCCATCTGCATACAAAGGCTCCCTACAATCTTTGAAATTATGGAATCTAGCAAACATGAATTATTTTACCGTTTTGATTAAAATACTCCAACGAAACTTAAATTTGTTTGTAAACACCGTCGCATACGAGTTCAATATTTTGATGATCAATGAAGTTATAGAACGCCTCGCCATCGAGTTTCACATTTAGACCCATTTTAGTGAAATTCAGGAATTTTCCGTTTATTGATACATTTACAGATCCTGAAAATAAATGAAGTTAATAAACTTTTTAAACATGTCACAGCCAAGTGGCGTAGTTAGTCATTCAACTGACGGCCTAAATACTCTAGCTAGCCGTTTGATTAAATGGCTAAATTTCTTATTCGGGCCGTTAAGGGGCGAAGGGGATTTATTAAATCCAGCTCGCTACCAGAATCGTAAGTAAGGTTAGAACTCCGAGAGGACACGGTGGAGTATACGGCGGTGGTATCCCCTGCTTGCGCTGAGCTCCGCCATATTCTCAAGGCTTTGGTTCAGGCCATGATGCGGATTGAGGGGAACTGGGATGCCGTCTCCTTTTCTGCGAAGCAGTCATAACAGCCTAAAGAGAACGCGAAGGGCGTGATGGAACAGTTCTCCTCACGCCCCTGCCGCAGCAGTCCAGGCGTCGGGGATTACGGCCACGTAGCTCGCCGCCTGACCAAAACCAAACCCGAGGTCACGGCGCGTCGCATTCTGCGAATGCCTTAAAGACCCATTAAACCACCACAAATGGGGGCCCAGTACATCATTCCTTCTCACGTCACCGATAGCGAGGAGTCATTGGATGATTTTTTCTGCTGGAAAACAATGTTATGCTAAAATAGGGACGCCTATCAGGGACACCTGACAGAGACATCTGTATCTATCGATTATCTGTTGAAACACTGGCTCCCGGTATAAAACACATTATACCCGCACCTTTCAATAGACAAGAGGATAAAGCATTATCTACAAGGAAGGGACTTACAGGAAAGAAACAAAAAATATGTTTTTAAAATAACTATCGTGAGACACACTAAATTAACTAAAAACTGCGAGTTACTCACGTGAATGTACTGAGAAAAGCTCTACTAGTTTCAAACCACAGAGGGGTTCTTCCTCATGAGCAGCGTAGAAGAACCCCTCTGTGGTTCGAAACTAATAGAGCTTTTTTCAGTATATTCACGTGAGTAACCCGCAGTTTTTAGTAAAGAAAAAATATACTTACTAGCTCCTTTCACATAGAGACGAAAATGAAATGCAACAACTGTGTGCGGTTCGAAGTTATACTCAATCTGTGGTGGTCCATGGAATTTCTGGTAAATTTCGCATTTCCATCTGGTACTCATTTCAGGAGTTACACTTGGAATCTAGAATCAAACAACGGTACCTAGTAATTAATTGTATTAAGCGGCTTGATGGACTTAATTACTATGTCTGTATACCACGGCCTCGCAGGAAACTGGGGTGGAACAACGCTTTTGTCGTGTCAATAAGGCTACGGGAAGCGCAACCTTATCATCAACAGCCTATAAATGCCTACTGCTGAGCAAAGCCTCTTCTCACACGGAGAAGGTTTGAGCATTAATCATCCTGCTTGGTCAATGCGTGTTGGCGATTTCAAACTTATAATTAGAAATTATAAGTCCAGGTTTCCTCATGATGTTTTTTTTCCTTCAGCGTTTGTCAGTGGTATCTAGATAATCTTAGAGAGTTCATATAACTCGAAAAACGTCACATTGGTAGTAGCCGTTGGTAGGTTTCGAACCGGCACCTTCATTCATGAAAAGCGGGCGTCTTAAACCTCCGGACCACCACAGCAATCATATCACCCATCCCACAAATCCCCAATTCCTAAAGCACGGGCAATTTGCTTCTAACTTCTCCAGTGTTACGAGTGTCCATGCGCGACGCCGATTGGTTACCATCAGGTGATCCGTCTGCTCTTTTACCGGATTGTCCCTTCCCATTCTCATTGTATATTCCCACGGATGAACGTAAAAAAGTATAATATCAGACACTATTTGGTTAAGCCAGAATTTAAAAACGATGTCACTATAAGTAGAGGTAAACTGGACAAAAGTAGTTAACATAGGAATCCTACTTATTGCTTGACCGTTTACAAAAGAAAAACTTACGTTGATGACACTGTCCTTATTGTAATTTGGATTTTTTTCTATACTAAATGTCGTTCCAGAATAAACACTATAACACCTGAAAATTTTAAAAGCGTTTTATTTATTGCCCGAACAAAAACCAGACTCGAGCGTTCGGCACTTCGCATTCTGTTTTCTCAAAGTGCTATCAGACCATCATAGACGGGGCCGATGTCCAGCCAGTTTTGAGTCAGTAAGAGCACTTCCTCTCTTTGATCTTACACAATCATCACACAGCCTATAAGTGTCGACTGCTGAGCAGAGACCTCTTCTCACACAGAGAAATTTTAATCATAACTACAACGCATGCTCAAGACCGAAGGCCATATTAATTCTTTAATTATAATTTATAGACTCAGATTTTTTCATGATGTTTTCCAGCACCATATGTCATTGGTGTCTAAAAATAGTCTCAAAAGAAGTCATGCATCAGCTCTAGTTAGTTTCGTCTCGTTTTAAATTCGTATTCAACCAGGGTGCTTACTCTTGAAACCAATTTCAACGTCAATGCAATTTTAATCCAATAAAATCTCAATAATAATTAAATGTCAGAGTACGGAATATAAAGCAAAACTCAATACCATTTAGTTCATTCAATATCCACGCCATACGGATGCAATGGGCGCTAGTGTTGCAACTCAAGAGTACGAAATTTCACAATACCAATGTTGATCGATCGGAATTAAATTCAAGAGTAAGCACCCAGGGCTGGTGAAATTATTTGATGATTTTCCTTAAAAATAATTACAATTACAAACCTCACATAACCAGCCTGGCTGTTTTCAATTATTATTTGTAAACTTTTATTTAGTTCAACATAATATATATCGTTTGTATCCTTCCCATATTCTAGATTTACAACAGGATTCTCTGAAAAATTACAAAATTAAATAATGTATTTTTTGTGTAGAGATAAATAGTAGCTTTCATTTTACTTTTTTAATATTGTTTTTTGCTTTTATTGACTTTACTGTTGTTTTTTACCGACTTCAAAAAAGGAGGAGGTAGTACGTTCGAATGATTGTTTCTTTTTTATGTTTGTTTGCCGTTGCATGAAATTTTCAATTAATCGTCCTGTGTGTCGCTTTCATGGTTTTCGAGGTAGGTGAAAATGATAGTTGTCAAAATGTAAATCCAAGATGGCTGTCAAAATGTAAATCCAAGATGTTTGGTTGATTGTTTTTTTCTCAATGCGAGTAATAAATTTATTCTATGTTAATTTAAAACATTTAAACTGTTAAACACCGCGAGGACACCGGTGACCGAAACCTATTGTTCTTTAAACTGTCAAACACCAAGCGGTCACTGGTGACCGCAACCTATTGTTCTTTAATTGTGTCTATAATGACGGTACTCAACGAGTTAAAAGAACTGATTTCTACCTCCTCCTTTTTTAAGTACGTTAAATAACATCTGCTCCTAAGAGTGTGTCAAACATATTAGTCCAAGTGAGGTTACCGGAGGCCCAACCCTCCCCTTCCCCAATCTCCGCATTTCCTAAATCCCCAACGATCCTCAAACTACTAATTCCCAAAAGGCCGGTAACGCACTTGTGACGCCTCTGGTGTTCCAGGTGTCCATGGGCGACGCCGATTGCTTACCATCAAGTGATCCAACTGCTCGTTTATCGGCTTATTCCATAAAAAAAAAAACACTTTTCTGAAAACCACATCAAAGTCGGTTGAGTCAATCAAAGTCAAAGCATTTATTTCAATTAAACCATAATTTGGTACTTTTGAAACGTCAACAAATACAAAATAAATAAGGTCAGTTTGTTAGTAAAGCTAGGTGAAGCTAAGTGCTCATTCCAAAATGTAGGTTCGAATGGAGAAGAACAAGAAAGAAACTCCATTCGTTACTCTTTTTAAAAAAAGTATGTTCTGCAATGTCTCTGATACATATTCAAATACTGTACGTATATGTGAGAACAATGCAAATACACGCTTGACGCATCGATTCGAATCTTGACGAATCGCGAGACAATCGCGGACATACATTCTCACAGGTCGAACTAATATTTAAGTTTATGAAAAAGATAATTTGACATACCTGTAGTTTCAATAGCTTCACATTGTAATATTGATAATATGAAATAAATCAATATTTTTAGACAATTATTCATTTTACATCTCATACTGGCATTACACGTCAACAAGTAATGGCGGAATGATATACATTACTGAACTACAGGCACCATAATTTACAAATATATCAGCAGGACAAAATGTTATAAAATACATATTTACAATCCCCTTTCCTGCTCAATTTATCATTTAAACGAATATTTGTTATTAACACGCCTTTAACAAAATGCGTCATATAATATTATCAAAGAATCTAAATTAACTCGTTGAGTACCGTCATTAGACACAATTAAAGAACAATAGGTTGCGGTCACCGGTGTCCTCGCGGTGTTTGACAGTTTAAATTCAATTCTAATTTGTTATATCGTTCGGTCGTTGTGGCCCGGAGGTTTAAGACGCCCTCTTCTCTTGCATGAGGATGCGGGTTCGAAACCTACCAACGGCAAGTACCAATGTGACTTATTCCAAGCTATATGTACTTTCTAAGAGTATCCAGACACCACTGACAAACGGTAAAGGAAAAGATTGTGAGGAAACCTGGGCTTATAATTTCTAATTATCAGTTTATAATCGCCAACCCGCATTGAGCAAGCATGGTGATCAATAATCAAACCTTTTCCGTGTGACAAGATGCTTTGCTCAGCTCAGCTCATTTATATATTTTTTCTTTTTTTTAAGGGGGAAAATCATCGAATGACTGCTCCCGCCTGGGTGAGGCGGGAGGGAGTGTCAGACTCTTACTGACTAAAAACCACCCCGTTCCTTTTCCTGCACGTCGAGCCGAAGCCCCGGTTACCCGTTAGGTTCTCCGCGATGTATGTATGTATAACCACACAATATAAAAGTGAAATCGAGCTGGTTTGATGATATAATTCTAACGTGGCTGATGGAACCTTGGACTGCCTACAATACATGACATCACGCCTTGTGTCATTGAAGGGGTAGGCAGAGGTGCACATTACGGCGCTTCATGCCACTGTAAAATGTAACACCCACTTTTCACTATTTTACGTTATGAGACCCATGTAATAGGTATTGACCCTATTGCCATATACCGGGCACAATTCCAGACTCCGTGCTACTACTGAGAATTTTTACAAATCCTAGTAATACTTTGCCCGACTCGGGAATCGAACCCGAGACCTCATACCCGGCATCCGCACTTGCGACTCGGCCAACGAGGGAGTCTGACTGCCTACTGTAAATAATGTATATTGAGTTTGGTCTCAATAGACATGTCCATGTCTCCTGATGATGAAGGCATTGCTGGTATATTATGATTAAAAGCGTTTCTTGTGTTATAGGTGACTAATTTTTATTTTAATGTCCGTCTGGTAGATTATTTAAAAACATTAGACACGTATTTTTATTTTTTTACGGAAACGAATAGTTTCGAAGATATATTGATTTGAAATGTCGCGTGACATCACTTCTATGTACATTTTATACGTAGAAATGACGTTTTAGCCCACTCCTAAACTTTGATTCGTTATGTTTAAGTATTATTTTATTAAATTACAAAATAAAAAAATAGGTGTCTAATATTTTTTCATTACCTAATTGAGGGACTAATTACATATTTAATTTTCATACCCTGACAGGGCATCCTAATTTATTTAACTCGTCGTGTACCGTCATTATAGACACAATTGTAGAACAATAGGTTGCGGTCACCGGTGACCGCTCGGTGTTTGACAGTTTAAAGGGGTTTTTATCATTTTTGTCATTTAGTGACAAAATACCCAAAATTTTAATTATCAAATGGCATTTCAAATTAGTTTCAGGTATTTAGCATTATTGTAAAAACATTTATATGAAATAGACTGTCCTGTTTCCTATTACTCTTATGGTTACACTAGTGTTATCAAAGCATTATTCATTTTATAGGAATAATTTGATTTATCCTTATAGTCATTTACTGTACCTATAATAAAATTCCTAAAACCATGTGGGAGACCCATGCTTCAGCACAATTGGGTCGATTCGACCGGAGCGACACTACGGCCTCACAGAAAACGGGCGTGAAACAACGCTTGCGTTGTACTTCGCGCTGGCGACCGTTGAGTTCTTGGGGCACCCATTTGTCAAGCTTTTTTATCTTAGTAATTTTATGCAAACGCACCAATATTGTTTTGACGCTTACGTCGAACGCTGCTGCTAATTTAGCCGTAGATTGTGTGTCATCGGCTTCTAAAGTCACCTTTTATTCGTCATAGTCAATCAAAGTCTACGGACGACGGCGAAGTTCATTTATCAGAAAGAAATTTCCAGAACGGAAGCGTGCAAGCAATAACAGGTGGTGCGTTAGGTTCGTAAGCGTCGATGATGTTGCGTTGCTTGTGCCGCGTTGCTGGCGGTACTCATATTCTATGTTACTTGATGTTTTAACGTATCCATGATGACGAAAAATATTGAAAGCGATGAAAATGTAACACTAGTAAATAAACAAATGACAACTTTAAAAAAAAAATCCATGTTTTTAAAATAAAATGAATTTCAAATTAGAATTCTTATGCCGGAATTCTGAAACGTTACTTAATTTTAAGTCGTACTCAAATAACGTGCCATCTCTGTCATTTTACAAAGAATTTGTAGAGAAACACCAAGCGGTCACCGGTGACCGCAACCTATTGTTCTATAATTGTGTCTACAAAACCGGTACTCGACGAGTTAATAGTTACAGAAAATATATTAATGTTATATTTTGCCTTATTGTGACATAATTTCAGAAACAACGCCATTTCTGAATGTCTATTTCTAAACAGGATAAAATTATATTAATTGTTATTGTAACGCAATAAAGTATTTATTAAGTTGCTAGCTTCAGCCAGCCGCTCCGCCCGTGTTCCATAGGGATATAAAGTATCCTATGTATATGTTATTTGTCCGGTGTGTGGCCATAGCAATTCGGCGAATTGCTATGGCCACACTCCACAGTAATATTATCATACAGTATTGTAACTCAGCGACATGACAGAGCGAAAATACGAGCCGGGCCGTAAATTACGAAGGCTGCCGTCGGAGGATTTAATTAAACCCAAATTAAGATAAAAAAAGGTTTTATTTGAAGTACAACTTATTAGATAAAGTCTTAATAACTAGCTAAACCCATTGCTTCGATCGATGCTGTATCAGAAGTGTCACCATTCGGGCGCAAACTCAAACTCAAATTCAAAAGCATTTATTTCAATTAACTCGTCGAGTACCGGTTTTGTAGACACAATTATAGAACAATAGGTTGCGGTTACCGGTGACCGCTTGGTGTTTGACAGTTTAAACCATAATTTGGTACTTTTGAAACGTCAACAAATATGAAAATAATAACAGTCTGTCAGTCTGTCCGTCAGTGAAAAATATGGGAATACACAAAACATTACTTTTCCCACTTTTAATTTTAATAAGGTGTCCACACCATTCACATATCCCTCCTTTTTACACCTATGCTGTTACCTATTGATAACACTATCATAGACTTTTCATTTAACTCTGTCTGCGTTATTTTTTTAATTATTTTATTAAAACTCAGACTATGGTAACTGATGTTAATATAACTACGGTTTTTTTTTAAGGGGGGAAATTCATCGATTGACTGCTCCCGCCTGGGTGAGGCGGGAGGGAGTGTCAGACTCTTACTGACTAAAAACCACCCCGTTCCTTCTCCTGCACGTCGAGCCGGAGCCCCGGTTACCCGTTAGGTTCTCCGCGACTCCGAATCGGCATCGGCCCTATTGGGCCCCATCTGTGGTGGTCTGATGGCTCTTTGAGGCGCGCGCGGAACGCGACGCG